GGATTTGGCACCATGTATATGTGGTGTTAACCAACGTTCCTCCGAAACGTCGGTTAACACCACATATACACGGTGCCAAATCCCAGAAGACTGCTTTCTTCATAGTAGACATGTTATCCAGAAAAAGTATATTTTCAAAAGTTTGTAAGTGGGATATGTATTGATTTTGTTTTAACATACTTTTCAGAATCAAGATGATTTTGAAGTCCGAAATACTTTGGTAAAAGGAATTGTAAGAGATAATGGTCAAGCATTAGTCAACAATCTGATCCATGCGTGTGTGTTCTGTCTTCATTCCTACATGCTGTCTGATGTAGCTGATGTCATCATGGAACTGATGTTGTATGATAGAGCAGTAAGTATATGGATATAATATAGAATTTGTGCATCATGTTTGCCATCACTGTTGTCAAGAGAGTACTCACTCTTCATCAAGGCAATCTCAGATATGTCCACATTTCTACAAATACTTCATCCACTGTTAAATTCCCATTTGAAGCTTCACACAATGTGTTTTGAAGTGTGGACATTGTGGCAGTGTGAAGTTCATCATCCAGAGAAAAGTGAAAACAACTGAAAATTTCACGCAGAAGATTAGGGATCATGTGTTCACACTTCAGCTTTGAGTATTGTTGTTCAGTGAAGTGACTTATAGTTAGACTTTGACAAGATAGTAGCTGGTGAGTAACACATAAATGCCTAGATTAAATGGAAAGCCTTACAAATTTAATGCAGTTTTAACAGCTTGTACCCTCTTAAAAAAATTAGCTGTATAGAGAGACATCTGACATGCATTTGGAAATTCCATATGTCAAATTCCGTGTTTGAAGTTTTTGTGGTTTATTAAGTCACTGTAGAAAATAAATGTGTTTGCAGCTTTTTCCTCTGTTTGCACTCTGACATCACAATAATGGTTAACATTCCTGCTCCATATTTAGTTGTTTCACTTCTTGTTCTCTAGATGTATGTTGGGATAGTATTCTGCATCCTGCCACACACACTCCAACTTATCATTCAGAATCATCTTGCTGTATAATTTGTGTAGCTGACATATTTAGTGTTAAACTGAGCAGTAACACACATAAGTCTCCTCAATCCTGTCATTTGGTATTGCTTATTAAATGTTAAATTATTTAAGAATCAGAAATAGTGTCAAATACCACCAACTGATAATTCAGCAGTAATGTGTCTGATCTGTTTCTGCTGTTGTAATGTTTTGAATATACCACTAACATCGACCTTCATCCTTTCCAATACTTCATATGTAATTACCCTCTCATCTAATTTGCTGCTACATTAGTTCTGTAGCTGATTCACCATCATTGTTGTATACTAGTATCTTATAGTTGTCATGTATTACTATTAAAGGAACAAGAAATAGTTTCAATATGTGGACATGGTATAAGCATAAAGCGCAATTTTTTTACTGTGAGTACAAAATATTGTTACCTTTGTCATGGAATAAATATGGGGCTCATTTTCCTTGTCTTGGGACACACATGAATTTTGTCATAACATTGGGGATGCCATTGGTGGATTTAAAGCAAAAACACTTGGATGTAAGGTGGTATATTTTTGTTGAATGATGTGATTATGATTTGTTTTGAGGAACTACTTCTGAATTAGGCTGTAGGGCATGAAAATAAACCATGAAAAACTGCAGAGAGGGTAGTTTATCTCTGCTTAGATATTAGAATGATTACCTCCCAACCTGCAACCAGCTAGTGCCGAAGTCAAGAAAACGTGGGTCTGTACATCCACTCCCCCATATTTCTTCATGATGTAGTACTTAATTAGTTATGCACAGGGTCAACTTTACTTTTTTTTTTCCTCCCAACTTGTCAACTTATTAGTGAAGAGAAATGTTAATATCAGCATTTAATTTACTGTATAGGCTGTATGCCAGTGGTTGGAACTTGCTGTAAAGGCTTTGCCTACACAAAACTCAGGTGGATCTATCACAGCAACACATAAACAACTGATTGACTTCCATCATTCACTCACAAGGTAAGTTGCTAACCTTTGTTGGAAAGTAAAACTGAGTACTAATTCATCTGTCAGTAGGATGGCATGAATTTTAGACAAGGACCTGCTTCAGAAATGTATTGTGTACATTTCCACTCTCGTAATTTTTCAGTAGGGAATGAACTGAAGCTGGCTGCTCTCCATTATCACTGGCAACAGTGGAGAGATGTACACACCTTTCTGTCAGTTCCTGTTTTATGTTTCCTGTGATGCATCTATTAGTAAATACCCATAGACATTACGACATTTACTTCATATTCTTCCCAGCATATGGTAGCGACGTTTGTTAAAGCGCTATCTGAGTCTTGCAGTAAAGACTTTGGATACAAATCCTCATTCATCATCTTTTTTTTTAATTACACGAGTAAAGTGTATTTATTTTAACGTGAGTGTTATTTCCGCTTTGAAGTTATAGCTATTCTAAATTGTAATACTGCCAGTGAAAGCAGGAATTTCCTTTTGTGAAGAATGGATAATTCTGCATGTATTTTCTAAGTGCATTTTTCATGACGTTCCATACGTCAGTAGCCCTGCTGTTCATTTATTACAGGTGCATCTATTTTTTTGTAAAGTTAGCTACATAAAAAATATCACACTGCATGCAGATTATTTTTCCTTGTATCTTGGTACAGACACATAACACATGACAATGTTGAGAAATGTTTGAAGTTTTATTGACAACTAAATTTTCCATTATGCAGTCTGAGCCTCAACAGCCTGTTGCAATGTGTGTGACTAGAAGTTGTACTCGCAGGAGAGGAAGAGAAACAAGCTACTAGCTATCCTAGAAGCATCTTTCATCACAGGCAGCTAGAAGAATATTAATGCAACAGATATTTAAGTGACATGAAAATATCACTTACTGATCAGCTGTTTACTCTGATACCAATGTGACAGTTGCAATTATCATGACTGCACTGTTTCATGCATTGTGTTGCTCTTGACTGCTTCTGAAAATCATTGAGCCACTCACATGGAAGAGTCAGTTCCATTTCCTATCAGATCAGGCTACAGAGATTGGACTTGTAGCAGAACTGAGAAGCCTACAGCTGAAATGTATTGCAATTGAAACGTACCCAGATTGCTGTAAATGGTGGAATTTTTTGCATTTTGTGTGCATATTCTTGGTATCTCCCCAAAAAGTCTACATTTATATGTTGAAGTTCTTTTGACTAAAGTAAAAGAAGGACCAGACCAAAACATTGATTGCTCAGTGAAAAGAAATTGGATGATATCAGTGTTAGCCTTGAACACTCACTGGTGAAACCTCTGCAAGATTTCTTTTGGGAGCAGTGGATTAGGAGACAAACTGAGGAAAGTTTTAAATCGATAAAGTAACACTAAAGTTATTAATTTGGGATAATTTAAATATTAAATGAAGGAAAATTTAAATTGAGGAACATTAAATCAGGGTTCTATTGTATTTATTTTTCTCTGCAGTTCCTTTTTCACCAGTCTCTTTACCAGCATCTGATAGAGCTTCTGTTTCTTCCTTTATGGTATTTATATTTTAATTTAATTAAACATTGTTTCAGAGCAGAAGGATCAAAAGCTGTGACACATGCTCTGCGTGACTTCGCTCGTTTATTCCGCTGACTAGAAGAGATAGTGCAGAATGGGGAAGTGAATGTGAAGTATTTTCGAGGGACGTCATAAATAAAATGATTACATAACGAAAGAACACTGCTGTTATAAGACATACACCTAAAACAATGTACATCCTGCTACAGTGTGATCGTGGAAATAATGATGTATGAATGAGTGTATGTCTCTTTTCAGAGCCAAAAGTGAGAATGTAAGAGGAGGCTTAGACATGTGTGTTAAGTCACAAGTGAAGATGAAATATTGTGTCGCATTGCATATATCTGAATATTTAAATTTTGTGACAAAATTTGGAGATGCTTCTTTTTTTCATAGACAGCTATGAAGGGAATGAATGTTATTTTGCTAGAACAAATGAAGGAATCACCTTCGTGTTCTACAGTTTCCTGTGCAACTGGCATAATAGGAGTGACAATATGGTACCTGCATATTTTAGAAAGAACTAGCGTCTTGAATTTGAGCATTCAGTGCTTTTATCACCCTACTTATTTTTACTCATTGTGTTATGTAAACTTTTGACACTCGTGAGATAAGAGCTCTTCTGAAGTATGGTTGTAAGGATGGCAGATATCGTATTCTGTTAAATCAGGATTAATAATACCATAAGTGTCCTGGTATGAATTTGTTGTGTTGTATATCTTTTTTTAATATGACAATTTTTATTGGATTTTATCCAGCCCACACCCTTCTTGATTATTAATTATAAATCCTGTTCTCTTAAAGTGAGAGTGGTAACACAGGGGGTTCCCCTTATCCAGGTCTTTTGTTATCCATTTCTCTACATGTACAGGGCTGAATTATTGAGGTACTGTATGTAAAATATCCTCTGTATTTCGATTATATCCATAGACTGCGAATTTCACAACTGAAAACGGTAACCATTTAGTGCTTATGCACTATTTTGTTGTATTTTCTCATTCACATACGTGCACATGCGCTCATCTCCTACCATGCATTCAGACAGTTGTCAGTGTATCTGGGGTTTTCTGTTATTTTCTTGGTGACTCCGTTGAAAATGTATTGCCTCTGTAGCAGCCACGAGTGAGGAGTGTAGTTGTAGCAGTGCTGCCTGTAAGAGAAAAGATACAAATTATAATTTTGATGTGAAAGTAGAAATTTATCNCTATTTTGTTGCATTTTCTCATTCACATACGTGCACACGCGCGCATCTCCTACCATGCATTCAGACCGTGCTCAGTGTATCTGGGGTTTTCTGTTATTTTCTTGGTGACTCCATTGAAAATGTATTGCCTCTGTAGCAGCCACGAGTGAAGAATGTAGTTGTAGCAGTGCTGCCTGTAAAAGAAAAGATACAAATTATAATTTTGATGTGAAATTAGAAATTTATAATGAGCAAAGAGACAAGCATGTGATAGGAATTTTACATGTACTCCAATTACTGAAATGACAATTCATACTATTTTGAAAATTATCAGAGAAACCAGGTATTGTTCTAAGTAGGTTTTTAACACAGATGGGACAGGCCTTTACTGGAAGCACCTTGGGCCTACATTTCCAAGAAAGGAAAATCTGCTCCTGGTTTCAAGCCTTGAAAGGACCAAGTAACTCTTCTTGTTATGTTATGTTATTTTAAAACAGTATCATCTTCAGTTAAAAATGGGTTTCAGGGAAACAGTTCCTTGTTAAACATAACATGGACAACATGCTACCTTCTCCACTTGCACATTGACCTGTGGCACCCTCTAATATCCCGATCATTAACCCATCATATTATTTCTATTGGGTGGAAATTTTCTCCTTAAAGGGGATTCATTTTAAGAGGTGTTTTTCCAGGCCCAGTTAACCCCAGATAATGGGGCCTCCTGTACATACTTTTTATGCATCAGAAGGGCCAAGATTTGATTTTTCTTAGGCCACTTGTTTTCTTGAATTGGTTTCTCATAGTTTTCCCAAGTCCATTTACACTATAAGGGCGAGAGCACACCAAGTAAACTGGAAATTGCAACGCAACCACAGTTTCCAAGAAATATTATCAGACTGAGTTGAACACGTGGATTTGAACTGAGCACTGAAAACTGAAGAAACGGCAACATGTTTGCAACCCAACTTGAAGAAGACTAAGAAACTCAACTTCCAGGCAACTAAGCAAGCCAGTCTTCTCACAGTTGCGTTGCAGTATAGTTTTCTAGTTGCAGCTGTTCTAACATGCTTCTTTGATTCATGTGTTTCTTAAGATGGCATGAAAGATTGATGAAGCTGCTTATTTTGTGATTTTGACAAATGTCACCCAGACAATGCTAGGCAGGACAATATAGATTTGGCTTGGGAAGGAATTTCTCATGAGATGAAGGAGTGTGGGTCCTGGTTAAGTTATTTCAAAACAATATAAGAACCTGAGTTTAAATTGTCACAGAACTGATGCACCCAGTGTTTTATTTTCCCCTGTCATGTCTTCTTATCTCAACCATCGTATTACGACAGGATCAGTATTATTATCTGACACTGCAGAAGAGAAGTGCATGATATTAAAAAATTCGATCATGTAATAAGTCATATGAACACACTCACTTGAGATGATATGTGCAAATAAGCAAACATAAGTTTCCTCAGTATGCACCTGCTGATCTGGAAACCAGTTCTGCTTGAAATTGATGACATTTCTTGGAAGTTGCAGTTGCCAGTTTCTTTGATGTGCCCTTGCTCTAATTATCAGCTTCTTGAAACTCTTTATCTCACACCTATTTCTTTTCTATTTTTGTCTCCATCTAAACACTATTCTTAACTCAATCTGATGATTGAGTTCATCAGCCTTGCAACTGTTTTGAGTAGAACCTAAAGCTAAGTATCCACCTGATTGTCTATGTGTGATTTTAATGAAAAGTTGCAAAAATGCTTCACCATGTCTGTCCTTCTATCAATTAGCATGTGAAAACCTGTGAGCGGCTGAACTACAAATTAAATGTGTTCAAATAATCCTCACATAATGGATGAGCTCAAGCACAGCATTTAGGGAACAGTTACGCATATCGAGGTAATTGATTTCCTACTGTCATCAAATAGTCTTGGGTTCTTTAAAGAGCAGCAGAGAAAAGTTTTGAGCACTTGCTGCAATAGCAGAATTCTCTAAGCAATTTATTTACTTTAAGAAATGCACTTCCGTATTTATAATACACAACAATTAGCTGTGAGTGTAGGCTTTCTTTTATTGGATGGTCAGTGTTCCATCTAACAGGCCAATAGCAAGAGAGTCAGGTAATTTGGCCCTTCAGGAAACACTGTACATGTACTACTAAATTGTCAATGTGAGTGCCTTCAGAAATACACACCTACCACATTCCTAAAGGCAGAATCTTGAAACATGAATTGCATTCCTAGTGCTTTGAAAAACAGTAGATATTTTTATATGAGGTTTGAGGTTTTCACAGCAATGAAGACTCATATTGTGAGCTTCTGGATTATGATGCTGTGTAGCTTGGTGGATGGGTAGAGTAGAAGTCTACCCTGAAGATGGAGGCAGTATGTCTTTTTGAAACATTGGTACCTACCTACCTATCTACATAGACTACATTACATCAAACTAAAGATCAATTCACACAGCCATGAGAGAATTAATGTGGTTCGCTAACATATTCAATCAAGTAATTTTTCTTAGAAAACACCTTTGATCTTAGGATAAGACTATCTTACATTTTGTAAATACCACGAATATTGGGTTTAGAATAAGCTTAGGATGGTATTATAATAAACGGTATGAAACCATTTCCTTTAATTTAAAAAAAAGGAACATCACATAGATATTAATGTGGAAAATGACGTGAGTAACTGAAATCCATCTATGAATGTATTAGATCTGTAGTTGGAGCGAAGTAGAAGCTTCATCTCAGAAGAAAAAAGATAACAATTCATATCGTCTCCATCTTGGTGTTTCACAGCACCACAGAGGACTATTTAATATGGAGTTAGTAGCCATATCCATAGTCCTTTATACTAACTATCTCTTCATGCCTATAGTTCTTCTAGTTATTTATTACGTCAGATTTGTCTCAACAGAAGGTGTACATTTTATGAGGCCTGTTACCATACAGTTTTAAGAGCCGTATGTTGAAGTGCGTTAGTGTTACAGCTCAGACTGCGTGACATCATATTGTTTCAGAAAAATGAGGACTGGAATTTGAAAATGGAGTGACGCAGTATTCTTCACTGTCATGAATTTCATCACAAATTTATGAAGGAAACAGACCAGTTAATCTGAATGTTGTTGAAGAGATGCAAACATATGTGTCAGCAGCATTTCTTACAGGTATACTGATTTCCGTTATTTGCATTTGGGTAAATATCTCACTAGATTTGAATTAAGTAGGTCTTTCACATGATTCATATTAATGCTGTTATTTCATGTTTATGTGAATTATTTTGTAAATTGTTTTTTTTAATCTGTGAAAGCATGCAAATGCTATAGATATTATTAACGGAAGTTTGGAAATGGTATTTGAATAAGTAAACAGAAAAGTGGTTCCTTCGTCAGTCCCATTTTTATAGCTCTCTTTGCACTGCAGAGGGTGCCCTGAATTGAATGACGTGGGTTGGTGGTCATAAAGGGTGGAAGAATAAAGACTTGAAATGAGATGGGTGTGACCTACTTCAAGGCATTCTCCTGAAGAAAATAAGGAAAAGGTCAAAACAATGTAACATGTATATCTGTTACCAGGGAACAGCTAGGTAAACACATTCCAGCGAAGGCAAATTCTTGACCAACAATAGGCAAAGTGTTTCAGTTACTAGGTAACGAGCTATAAACATGTGTCCTATTGTTGCATGTATACAGGTGCCTAGTTATGGATCAGAGAGGGTGCCCTACATGAACTGCCCGACTAACAAAAATCTGATGTTGGGCCCAAAATGGGGCTTGACACCAAGACTGGATGGCTGACCGTCCGTGTGTAACGTGACTTGATTTTGACTGACTGATGGGAGAGTTTTGAGGCTGAGGCTAGTGAATGCAGTTCGTGAGTCATAAGGGTGTGAGGAATAGCCATTGTTAGAAGGCAGGAACCAGGCAGTGCCTAGTCGAGACCCTGACTGAGAACTGTAGTCTGTGCGTGATAGAGAATTGTAAAGCGTAGTCACGAGTGATGTGTTAAAGTGTTCGATAAAGCCAGTAACTAATCCAGAAGCCGTCTATCGTCGCTTAATCATGTGATGATATAAATACTTATGTTCTTTATTATTTATACTAGACGTATACTCGTAACTTAGAAGCTACTTTTCTTTTTATTGTATGACTTCTTTTGAGGCATGCCTTGATTTGTGTTACAAATTGCACAACTTCCATTATATTTCTTTCATATTCAAACAGGCAAGAAAACAAATTTGTTTCCCACTATTTAGCAACTTGTGGTTTGCAAAGGGCTTTGGTTAATATGTTTTTAGGACCACCTTATGATTAGCAATTCCAACTTTTTAAAACATGGTTAAATTTAAGGGTTCTAATTTCGTTTCAACACTTGCCATTTCTTATGGTATTTCTTGAGTAGGTTTACATACTTTTAATGCACTTGATACTTGTTTCCAGTTAGTCAGTTTGCCATATTTAATATAATACAATAAGGTAAAAATGAATATTTGAGTACTCTTCCACATTTCACACGGTTTAAGAGATAAGTTTGTGAATATATTCTCGCGAGATCTAGGATGGTACATGCGACAAAAAGGACGGGTTATAGTTCAGATAATTAGATTTATTAGCACCTTGGTTACAGTCTCTCCCAATTACACTTAAATTACAGCGCTATCGCTGATTTACACACTTCATAATTCACTGTTGCTCGCACATACTAGCCCTAACCAGGTAACGTATCTCAACACAGAAATCAGCGCTTTAAATCACTTCTCATGAATACAGTATTTTAATCACACACGGCGAACTCCCCGTGGCTGTAACTTAAAACTCTCTCACTGTTACTTAAACACTTAAACATTCTGAAATACTCTGAAATACTGAAATCTGTTATGTCTCTAACTGTCGTTATATAGCTTCCGCACCGACCGCGCACAGAAAACAGCCTATATTGTTGAAACGATTGCATGGCAACGGCCTCGGCACGGTGTCCGTAGAAAGCCAGTCACGTGATAGCCATATTGCCAACCCATTGGCACGCTGACTGTTGCCTAGCAACGAACTATAAACATTCATCCTATTGTTGAATGCACTGAAACGACTGAAGTTTGTTTACAGGTCGTTGCCCGAAACGCTCTGGCCATCCACGTTATAATATGTTAAGGAACTATCGTTTGATAATTAAGATTGGATCCAGCTGGCTAGATTTAGATTTCGTTATCAGAGAATTGATAAGTTACTTGTATTTTATATAGCGGCTAATTTTACTTGTTTGTTTTGTATATTCATGCATGTTCAGAAACAGATGTTATCGCGGTATCGCAGAATCGGTAGAGCGCAGAGCTTCATAAACAACGATGGTTTTGTTTCTGGGTCAGTGTGCTGTGAAAATGAAACTCAATACAGATATTAATTAATTTCCTCTGGAAATTTTATTTATTCAGCAGCCTATCGTGAAAACGTTTATGCATTATTCGATTTTCTCTCTACCTTGAAGCATCATCTACTGTACTCAAATTCGTTATATTGAAGAATATATTATTAAAAATAGTCGAATTTTTAATGGCTTCTAGTGTCGCCTGTCTTTAATCTTTTAATCTCCGGCAAAATGATCATTTAGTCTAAAATTAGTAAACGTTGTACTAATAATACGTTTTACTTTATTTACTGTTCTAGGCGTATTTGATATATATGACGATTCGGAAGTTGGATGTGTAGTCATCTTCAGGGGATTGTTTTTCATTTTCTGGCTGATTACTTGTTAATTTAAATTTTATACTATTTTCGTGGCGTTGTGCGCAATTAATTAAGCACAGGGATTACGTTATCTTCCTCATTAAGAAAATAAAAGCAAGGGTCTGAGATCCACCTGTATGATTGTGTATCCCCACTACAAGTTTTGGATGCCTGAACCGATCTTTAAGACACTTGGTCTAGTGACGTAGTGGTTAGGTTAGGAGCCTAGCATTCAAAGAATCATGGATTCGACCCAAATCATCGCCACTATATACATATAAGAGCCTGTCAATGCGTACAATGACAACTATTCACTTGAAGACGCGGTTAGAGAAAATTCTGAATCGACCTTGTCAGTAGCCCGGATCACATGGTAACGAAAAATGGCTAACAAGGAAATACTGAAATGGAAAGCCTGTGGGAGGAAGCGGTATGTCCCGGGATTTGTCTGGTTCACCGAGTAAAACTAGGAAGAACTTCAGCCAGGATAGCCAGTATCAAAGACGAGATTCAAACCTGGGACTTCCAAAATATAAGCCAGACTCACTACTGTTTGAGCCTATTTGCTCGGTCACTTATATCAAATACACCTCTGAACAGTGATATTGCGCAGCGTGATTATGGTACAGTGACTGAACAACTGTTACAAATCTTTAGAAGATAATCATTTAATACAGGGTTAGTATAAATGATTCATTCGTTCTCAAAACGCTATATTTTCCAAAGCATTATACGTACAAATATGATTGACATATAAAACGAACCGTAAACTCACCAAGTTTTCTGCACACTCTACAAATGTTCTATTTGTGCCCCTTGGGTCACACGACACACATCCCGGAATANAGGATAGCCAGTATCAAAGACGAGATTCAAACCTGGGACTTCCAAAATATAAGCCAGACTCACTACTGTTTGAGCCTATTTGCTCGGTCACTTATATCAAATACACCTCTGAACAGTGATATTGCGCAGCGTGATTATGGTACAGTGACTGAACAACTGTTACAAATCTTTAGAAGATAATCATTTAATACAGGGTTAGTATAAATGATTCATTCGTTCTCAAAACGCTATATTTTCCAAAGCATTATACGTACAAATGTGAATGACATATAAAACGAACCGTAAACTCACCGAGTTTTCTGCACACTCTACAAATGTTCTATTTGTGCCCCTTGGGTCACACGACACACATCCAGGAATAGTCGAGCTCATTCCACACATTTTGTAGCATCATCATCCTGACAATGGTCATCACTGCAGCATCGATGCGTTCCCTCAGCTCTACTAGTGNTTCGTTCTCAAAACGCTATATTTTCCAAAGCATTATACGTACAAATGTGAATGACATATAAAACGAACCGTAAACTCACCGAGTTTTCTGCAAACTCTACAAATGTTCTATTTGTGCCCCTTGGGTCACACGACACACATCCAGGAATAGTCGAGCTCATTCCACACATTTTGTAGCATCATCCTGACAATGGTCATCACTGCAGCATCGATGCGTTCCCTCAGCTCTACTAGTGTTTTTGGCAGTGGGGGTACGTAAACACGATTCTTACTGTACCCCCAAAGGAAGAAGTCACAGGGCGTTAGATCAGGTGATCTGGGGGGCCAAGTGAACAGAGCTACGTCATCCTCACCAACACGCCCAATCCATCTTGTCCTTAAATTGCCGATACCACAGCAAAATGTTTTGTTTACATGGCGGTTCTTTTGCGTACTCTTTTGAATGCGCATTGCACTGCCATAACAGACGAACATCTCGCATATTCCAACAAACAAAAACGCTTTTCTTTGCTTTGTCTCCATTTTGTAAAGGCACTGAAATCGTGCTGCTAAGTGGTGCATGTAGTAAACTTGGTGAGTTTACGGTTCTTTTTATACATCAAGCATATTTTTATGTATAATACTTTGGAAAATATAGCGTTTTAAAAACGAATGAATCATTTATAGTAGTCTTGATCGAAGCTTGTATAGGCTCTCTCTCTGTCTATGGATCTTCAGCCCTTCGGACCCTGGCCGTTTCTTGAGTTTCTTAATCAATACACAGCGGGTAGAACTCCTTGGACGGGGGATCAGCCCTTCGTGAGACTGCTACCTACACGCAGAATAAACGCACGTATATATCCATGCATTGACTGGGGTTCGAGAGGGCGAAGACGGTTCATGCCGTAGATCGCGCGACCACTGTGACCGGGGCACAGCCTTACTGTTACTACCTTCAATAAATAAACATACAAAGAAACTGAATAGAATTCGCGCGACTAAGAAAGTTCGAAATATAAAATTGTTCTGGGCTTAATTAAGCCCCACGCCTTGAAAACACGGCGAAGTGGGCTTATAGTAATTCCACGCGTTATTAATTAATCTCGGCCATAGGCGAAAGTGAGTGGTCAGATGCTTTACCCCAAGTACCAGTTGGACAGGAAGCTGGGGAGAAGAGAAGAATATCTTCTGAGACGGACATGAAATCCTGATTTCTCGGCTCTCAAGCCCGTAGCTATCCCCACTCTTGTACAAATAGTCAACTGCAGTTATTTCGAAACAGGCTTCATAAGGGCGGTTCACTAAGATGGGCCTGCTATTAGACTATAATTCTTGAGGAATGTTTTAACTATCATTTTCGTTGTGGACAATATTGTGGTATGACGTCTAAAAGTGAGAATATGATAGACAGGAGAAACATATTGCTAGGCAACGGCTGGGTGAACACGTTTCGAGGAAACGGATACGAGAGCAACAATAGAGGGACAATTCGAAGCGTTGTTTTCTATTATGTCCGTGCCGAAGTTATATAAAGAGTCAGCCGACTGTTTGGCTTTGACTTTTGACTGACCGTCAGTCGCAATATGACTGACTTTGCCTTTGACCTGAATCGGCATAAATGGGTTCGGGTTATAAAGGAAAAATACCAAGGAAACTACACGCTTTTTGTATCAGCATCGTCAAATGGCTTCCAGTGATATTTACTGTGGCTCTTATAATATGGTCCTACTATGCATATGTGTATCATTTGTGCTTCCAAATTGTAACAGACGATGTAGAAAGAGTGTTATACCTCATCGGATATCACATCCTGTTTGCGTTTCTCATGTGGGCGTACTGCCGAACAATTTTCACAGAAACTGGCAGAGTTCCTATGAAGTTCAAACTGCCCAGAGCGGTATTGCAGAAGTTAGAGGAATCTGACACTGCAGAGTCTGAGAGAGAGATTTTGGAGAGATTTGCTGAGGATCTTCCCATAACGAATCGTACAATGACAGGATCAATCCGCTACTGTGAAAAATGTGAACATCTTAAACCAGACCGAGCACATCATTGCAGTTCTTGTGGAGAATGTGTTCTCAAAATGGACCATCATTGCGCACTCCTCAACACATGTGTGTCATTTACCAATTACAAATTCTTCCTTCTGTTACTGGTATACAGTCTCCTGTACTACCTCTTCATAGTATTAACAACAATGTTGCCTCTCATAGAATGTTTTCATAGTGGTGGAAGAGGAATGAATTGCTTCCACATTACGAGTATTTCCTTGTTCTTCTTTGCAGTCATATTTGCACTTATTTTTGTTTGTCCGTTCCGCTTCCACTATCATCTTATGCTCAAAAATAGGACAACATTAGAGGCACTGAGATCACCAATATTCCTCAGTGGTGACGATAAAGATGGGTTTAATTTAGGGAAATACAGAAATTTCCAAGAAGTCTTTGGAGAGACTAAAATGACATGGTTTCTACCAATTTTTACAAGTTTGGGAGACGGTTCGAGTTTCGCAGTTCGAGCCCAGGATCAGCTCGGCTCGCGTAACTCCGCGAACAGCGCAGAGACCAGTCTTGACTTTGGTAGGATAATCCCTTAGCTTCGACACACTACTTGATATACAGCAGCATCGGGAAGAGGAATTCGAACTCAGTCCCCCTCCTTTCGCTTCCCAACCCTCAGGATTTGATTCAGTGAGTACGGGCAGACCAGCCGAGTGTACTACCGTATTGACGCTAGCGAAGTCCGACCGATTCAACAGCCCCCGAAGAAGTTTCCTCGAACTAAGCAGGCAGAAGTGGGAAAGATGCTAAAAAGACATTCAACGGTGTGAGGATATCGAAGAGTCTATCAGACCTGGTGAACTTCCGTTGTTTTCGTCTGGAAGTCATCCGTCTCTGCTTGGACTGCAGGTAGTTCAATGACGTCACGAAGAAAGACTGCCGTTGTCGAAGATCGACGACATTCTAAACACTCTCGCCGGAGCCAAATGGTTTTCCACTCTAAACGTGCTCAGAGGTTACTGACATGTGGCGCTACATGCTGAGAATAAGGAAAAGATTGCGTTTTCGACTGGTCATGTATTGTAGCAATTCATTCTCATCTCTTCAGCGAGTTTCCAGCGGCTGATGGAAACCGTCTTAAGGGGCCTCAGGAGCCTGGACCGTCAGTCAGCAGTTGGTGGTTAGACGTGTCCGTCGAGTACGGGAGTAGAGGAACCTCCGCTGTTAGAAGCCGCTTCCAAGCTACTTGTAGCGTTTGTAGGGACCAAAGCAAGGAGCAGCCCGTACACACCATTCATAAGAACAACCTAATGTACGTAATATACATATATTGAATAATGAGTATAGCTCCGTAAGACATCAGTAAGGTCATGACTGCATGACCTATCCCATGTAAGAAGGTTCCGATACGCGGGAGCCCCACCCTACAGTCGCTTCTACCGGTATAAAAACCAGGCCAACACGTAGCGGTTGCAGAGTCTTACCACAAACAACAGCATTTTAACTTCCATGTCTTAATCTTTAGTTTTAATTTTAATCTTTATATCTATATTTTAAAATTTTTATTATTTAAGAATTTTCAGTTTTAAAAATTTGGACCAAAAATTAATATATGTATCTATGCATTTCATTAATTTTAATTAGATGATAATTAATTGCAATTCATCAGCTCATACTGGAGCATTGTACACCTGATAATGACCCTGTATAATGGTAGAAATATATTGCATTTGTAAAAACAAAATAAAAGCAAATGTTGATACAGTAGTGTCTTCTTTGTTTCTTAAATACAGAATATTGTTGTGTAGATGGCATACCTTATATACATTTATATATCGTATTTATGAAAAATGTAATGAATGAATGTAAAACAAGACAAGCGTGTACAATACTTATCTAATTGGTCACATCAGAATAAAGGTTCTCAACCTGCTGGTGGTGACTCAAGTCTGGGTTCCGGGGAGCATTCAGATGATTCGTGAATATATTTTCAGAATAACTTTACTATTCTCTTGAATAATCGAGCGTGAACGAAGATTACAAACGAAAGCGTGTGGAAACGAAACTGAAATCCAGATTTCATTGCATATGAAATGTTTGTTGTGCAATTTATTTTAGTGGTGCAGACGGGACGGATGTCTTGTTCTGTTGTGATATGCGTGTATTGCGTTTAAAGGTCTTACGAAACAATACCTCTCTTTTCATGCGTTTATTAATAGTTATGCAAGCGGTCTTCACAGCTATGATCACTGTATTCCTCCTTATTGTTGCGTCTACTGTTTCAACTAGTCTATATTTCTTTTCATAGCCGCTAAGCGAGACAAAATCCGAGAACTATTGTTACAGCTCTTTGAACATTTTTAGCACTCTGCGTTTTCATAGTCCACTCATACGTAACGTATCTTGCGGAGTTAAATTTTCAGTTCATTCGAGTTCTCTTTAAAATTACGTAACATATTGTAACGTGGATGGACACAGCGTTGCTAAGTAACTGACCGCAAAACACCTCTCGACCGAATACACGCATGGCAACAATGAGAGTGCGGCGTTTTCTGTGCGGTCGGCGCCATGACTGTTGCTAGGCGATCGCTCGGCAAAACACTTTCCAACAATAGTGGTCGGTGCGAAGACTTTATAATGAGATTCCGTCAGTCGCAATGTAGAAAGTGAACACCGATTAAGAAAGAAAGACCAACCCCTTCGTTTTATCATTTAGGAGGACCAACGAAGAAGAGGAAGAAAACAAAGGTCTAGACGTTAAACCAAAATGTGGCCATGGGTCCTAGCGGGGCCAGATGCCAGGAGTGACTGTACCGGCTGACTGCCGGTAGTAAGCTTCTGCTCTGCTCTGCTCTGCAATATGACTTAGACTCTGACTAACCAATCAGTATTTGGAGAGTACTGGGAAGTACTTGAGAGTGTGTGTGTGTTTAAATGACAGTGACAACCACGGGAAGTGGCTTTTGCCTTTACTATACGCCTCTGTGGTCTAGTGGTCAAGAGTTCCTGGCTACAGATCCAGAGGTCCGGTTTCGTTTCCCGGTGCTACCAAATGTACTGAGAAGTAGTGGGTCTGGAATGGGTTCCACTCAGCCTCATGAGGATAACTGAGGAGCTATTTCCATGAAATAGTGGCTCCGGGCCGTGAGGTTTCGTTGCGCTGACCACGCGACAGCCTCTATCCGCTAAAGTTGGAACTAGTTTCGCCGACAAGCGGCGGTCGCTCTTTTGGTATAGTTCGCTAGCGCACTAAAGCGACGGAGTTTGTTTTATATGTTTTACTTTACTAGGCTACATTACTACAGGAATTGAACCGACGTTATTTTGAGTACTGTTATATGAAGTCCAGGTGGTCTAGTGACGTAGTGGTTAGGTTAGGAGCCTAGCATTCAGAGAATCATGGATTCGATCCAAATCATCGCCACTATATATATGTAAGAGCCTGTCAATCCGTGCAATGACAACTATTCACTTGAAGACGCGGTTAGGGAAAATACTGAAACGACCTTGTCAGTAGCCCGGGTCACATGGTAACGAAAAGTAGGCTAACAAGGAAATACTGAAATGGAAAGCCTATGGAAGGAGGTTGTATGGCCCGGGATTTGTCTGGTTCACCGAGTAAAACTAGGAAGAACTTCAGCCCGGATAGCCAGTGTCAAAGACGAGATTCAAACCTGGGACTTCCAAAATATAAGGCAGACTCACTACTGTCTGAGCCTATTTGCTCGGTCACTTATATCAAATACATCTCTGAACAGTGATATTGCGCAGCGTGATTATGGTACAGTGACTGAACAACTGTTACAAATCTTTAGAAGATAACCATTTAATACTTGATCGAAGCTTGTATAGGCTCTCTCTCTCTCTCTATGGATCTTCAGCCCTTCGGACCCTGGCCGTTTCTTGAGTTTCTTAATACACAGCCGGTAGAACTCCTTGGACGGGGGATCAGCCCTTCGCGAGACCGCTAACTACACACAGAATAAACGCACATATATATCCATGCATTGAGTGGGATTGGAACCCACGATCCCAGTGTTCGAGAGGGCGAAGACTGTTCATGCCGTAGATCGCGCGACCACTGTGACCGGGGCACAGCCTTACTGTTACTATCTTCAATAAATAAACATACAAAGAAATTGAATAGAATGCGCGCGACTAAGAAAGTTCGAAATATACAATTGTCCTGGGTTTAATTAAGCCCCACGCCTTGAAAACACGGGGAAGTGGACTTATAATTCCACACGTTATTAATTAATCTCGGCCATAGGCGAAAGTGAGCTGTCACATGCTTTATCCAAAGTACCAGTTGGACAGGAAGCTGAGGAAAAGAGAAGAATATCTTCTGAGACGGACATGAAATCCTGATTTCTCGGCTCTCAAGCCCGTAGCTACCCCCACTCTTGTACAAATAGTCAACTGCAGTTATTTCGAAACAGGCTTCATAAGGGCTGTTCACTAAGATGGGCCTGCTATTAGACTATAATTCTTGAGGAGTGTTGTAACTACCATTTTCGTAACACTTCATTGTGGACAATATTGTGGTATGACGTCTGAAAGTGAGAATATGATAGACAGAGGAGACATATTGCTAGGCAACGGCTGGGTGAACACGTTTCGAGGAAACGGCTACGAGAGCAACAATAGAGGGACAATTCGAAGCGTTGTTTTCTATGGTATCCGTGCCAAGTTATATAAAGTGTCAGCCGACTGTTTGGCTTTGACCTTTGACTGACCGTCAGACGNTTACAAAGGAAGAATACCAAGGAAACTAAGCGCTTCTATTGTGAGAATTGTGAAATGGCTTCCAGTGATAATTACTCTGGCTTTTAAAATATGGGTCTACTATGCATATGTGTATCATTTGTGCTTCCGAACTGTAACAGACGATGTAGAAAGAGTGTTATACCTCATCGGATATCACATCCTGTTTGCGTTTCTCATGTGGGCGTACTGCCGAACAATTTTCACAGAAACTGGCAGAGTTCCTATGAAGTTCAAACTGCCCAGAGCGGTATTGCAGAAGTTAGAGGAATCTGACACTGCAGAGTCTGAGAGAGAGATTTTGGAGAGATTTGCTGAGGATCTTCCCATAACGAATCGTACAATGACAGGATCAATCCGCTACTGTGAAAAATGTGAACATCTTAAACCAGACCGAGCACATCATTGCAGTTCTTGTGGAGAATGTGTTCTCAAAATGGACCATCATTGCGCACTCCTCAACACATGTGTGTCATTTACCAATTACAAATTCTTCCTTCTGTTACTGGTATACAGTCTCCTGTACTACCTCTTCATAGTATTAACAACAATGTTGCCTCTCATAGAATATTTTCATAGTGGTGGAAGAGGAATTAGTTGCCTCCACGTTATTTCCCTGTTCTTCATAGCAGTCATATTTGCTCTTGCTGTTTCATGTCTTTTCGGCTTCCACTGTCGTATTCTGCTCAAAAATAGGACAACATTAGAGGCACTGAGATCACCAATATTCCTCAGTGGTGACGATAAAGATGGGTTTAATTTAGGGAAATACAGAAATTTCCAAGAAGTCTTTGGAGAGACTAAAATGACATGGTTTCTACCAATTTTTACA